TCGTTTGGGGAACATAATTTGTGTTGTTTCAAAGCGGTATCTGACTTCCAAGTGGCGCGATTATGAACTCAACATGGCAAAAGTGGAAGGCGTCAAAGACAGAGGAAGCATTCGTTTTGTAATTCTTATTTTAATGCCCGATGTATATAATGGGACTTACCCAAGTAAAGTAGCCGATTTGCTAAAACAGGATTGCTACCTGGAATATCCAGAAAACGAACGGGATTATGAAGAATTCTGGGAAAAACTGATACAAAAAATTTCTCAGAATATCTCTGGTCTCTAAAAGAAATGGATATAACAATCATTTAAAAACAAGATCTTTCATTATGAATTTTTCTTTGACTATATAAATAAAGCTCTGGAAAAAATGTAGTGAAGGTATTGGGTTTTTTCAATGTCACACCCGTGTAATTATTGACCTTTGTTATGTTAAATATATTACTATTATCAAATCCTAGTTTACTCCTATAATCAAGAATGGTAGATCACACATCCTGTCTTTTATCTTCGACAAAATATTGTTCAAGAGTGTTTTCATCAATGTACATGTAGATTTTGTCAATTTACGTTAATGATTAGACTAGATTTTATTTATATCTGAGACCATCTTTAGAAAACTGTTTTGTTGCCCTCTCCGGACCGACTGATTAAAAATGGCCCGACTCAATACATGTACGTTTTTACATTCCAGGACACAATTTTCCCCCTCTTATCCAGTTAAGAAATATTTCAAAAATTTCTGGAAAAAAATTCCTCGCCTACCTACCGACCCAATAATTTTACCCTGAGTGGGAGGAGGGCAAGCAAACATTCTTATAAAGATGGTCTGGGTTCTCTTATTCAAATGCTGACTGACGTTTTTCATATAAGTGTTAGACCATAATTTACACACCGAATTGTCGACAGATTTTATCCGTTATTTCCCGATCATGACAAGATGCAATCGGTGGGTGTGATTGGTCGGCAGGGGGTGCTTACTACTCAATGGAACCTGATCCAACCTTTGGTATTTTGTAGGTCCATGTTTGCTATGCTCTTTTTATTAATGGACTTTAAAGCTTGGAAACTCTACATTATTTTCATCTCTTTGTTGTTATATCTGTCTTGCATGGAAGTCTAACGTCATTAGATGTTTCTAAGCATGCGTGCTATTAATAAACAATTGGAATTTACATTTATGGATGGTAAAGAGAATGAATAATAAAATGGTAACCTTGTCGGCAAAGGCAACTTATCATTTTTTAAGGTGCTGACTGACTTTTTCATGCTAATTGTTGGACCATTATTTGCACAGTGATATGACGACAGATTTTTTTTTTTCGTTGTAATCCTGTGACAGGGGATGCTCACTCCTCCATCGCGCCTGATCCCACTTCTTGTGGTTTAGAGGTATGTTATTAATCTTAAATGTATGGACTTTTGAGCTTAAATACTGTTCGTTATCTCCATAAATTTCATCCATTAATTTCTAAGGGATTCCATAACTGCAAGAAAAAAGAAGCTTATCATGTTGTTTGTTGAATCAAAGAAGACCTGCGAACGATAGCATTGTTCTCCCGCCTACCTCCAAGTCAATTTTTAAAAGTTAACATATTCTATAAATTTTTAGGCTATCTAAATTTAATTCCCTGGTTCTCAGGCCAATTTTCTCCAAAACAGATGCGGGAGGGCGGCATTTTATTTTTCATTTTATTGGCAATAAAGTAGATGAGGGAGGTATTTTTTTTAATTTTAATTTCCGAATTTTCTTTAACATAAAGATAATTTTTTTAATCACAGATATACTTTCCATTTCTGGTCAAAATTTCTGCTTTATCCATTGCTTAACAGCGTGTAAACATCGTAGGTAATGTCCTCGAATGTATTTTCAAACGAAGTAGCCAAAATCTCATTGTAAATGGCTACCGGAAGTGATATTTGAATACTAAACTACGAAACAAATGAGGTCGGAATTTTTTTTTCCCGGATTGGTCTCCGCAATACCAACTTTTTATTTTATCAAAAATACAATAAAATCGGCAATGCGGCTACCTCAAAACGGATGCGCGCGGGCCTGAGAACCAAGATTTCAATTTTATATGGCCTTAATATTCTCTATAGATAACTATGTGGATTTTCATAAAATAATACTTATTTGGGAAAACAAAGAGAGATAACTCTAAAATTTTGACAAAACTTGTGTTTTTTGCTAAAGAAATCAACGGAAAACGGAAAATATTTTAAATCATCCCCCGTGTCAAAAAAATTCCTTTTTATGGGTAATATGGACTGTTATTTCACAAATTCACACCAAAGCTTTTTGTGTGATACGGGGGGGGGGGGGGGGGACATTTGTTTATTGACAAAAAACGACAAAAATGCTTATTTTCCACCAATTCCAACGCGATTTAAAACTGAAACATTATATTTTGTTAATATATTCATGTTTTATTTATTTGCTTAAAACATAAGTAAAATGATGAGTGAGGTGATTTGTTGTTTTTATTTTATTAATTTAGTAATAAAAAGGGGCAATGAGGCACCCTTCAAAGAGATGAGGGAGGGCCTGAGAACCAAGAAATTAATTTGTTATGGCCTCAGAATTTGTTAAAATTAATGGCACCTTTTAAAATCTTAAGTACCCCCAGTTCAGAAAAGATAATTAAAATCTTATGTGGGAACATTATCAGGTAGAGTTGATTCAAGTATCAGTATATGTTTGAATCATAACCTTAGGGGTAGGGTGGAGCAACAATTACAGAGGAATACATAAGAAATGAATCTTTCAATTCTTTTAAGACATATTGAGCCGGAAGACTTGAAATTTATGTGAACATTGTGTACATATAGATTCAAGTCCAACCAAATCATGAATCGAAGTGATTCACGGTGACCCACTACATGCATATGAGAAGTCTTCCATAGGAATGAACAGCAGCATTCTTGTAATTCAGGTGAGTGTTGTGGTCCACAGGCTTCAATTTGATATTTAAACCTGTCTCACTCATAATTTCCATCTCCAGCTACAAAACACTGAATGTCTACCTATTTTACCAATAAGAAGGAAAAAGTCAAAACGTCACATTAGGATTTTTAAAAAAAAAAACTTTTATTTTTTGCGTACATAACAAATGATATGTTTATCCTATTAGTAAACAGGTAAAAAGACAATCTCTTTGTGAAAATCATTAATAAGTTTGCATAAAAATGCTCTCATTGTTCCCTAGAACATCAAAAAAATCACTTGGATGATATGTATAATAATGGTGCCTGATTAATCGATGTCCAGGAATTCATAAATAACTTGATTACATGAGTGAAGAGATATTCCGTTTGTCATGACATTAGAATCTGTATTCTGTAATATGGGATCCTGAAAGTGATGAAGTTTGTGTATAAAGTAGATCAGATCTTGTAACTGACAATTAAAAAAAATCAACAACAGTTCTAATTAAAATGGTTTTAGATGTTTCTTATACAGTATAATATATGGTAATTAATACACCTTGTACATGTACATATTAAAAACTTGGGCACAACAAAAATTATTATTTCAACAATCCAGTAACATTAAAATACTTTCGTTATTTTGCACTAGGATCAAATTTGATTTAAACATGCCGTCATATAACCTTTTTTGGAGGTAAATACATATAATTTATATCATTTGATATTGAAAAGGGTAGTTTCCCTTATATTCTTAGCGATATGATCATACTTATACATGTAAACATTAATACACCAATAATTATTATATACTTCTAATTCTATAGAATTATAATTTTTGTTAAGTTGAAGTTAATAGTACTCAAAACAACAATTTGACTAAATAACTTACTAATACACCATTTTTATATTCATTTATACAAACAACTTATTCTTACTACATGTATCTATTTATAAATTGTTTGATCACAGGACTTGCAAAAAATGACTAGATACCATTGTTTACAAACATGACGTAACGTCACAAAAGACTGTAAAAGAGTATCTTCCCTTTGGTGTTATCTTAAACTCAAGGGAATTCTTATACAAAAGATCAACTGTATTTTTTAAATTTATCAAATAATGCATGATCTAATTTAAAAGATGAAAAAAAATAATTTGACATTCAATTTTTTATATATCAGATGATTCAGATCTCTTTTATGATGCTGGATGATATATGTCAAAGGTTTAAAAAAAAAATACCTGCATGTATACATGTATGTATAACAATTTCTCTATGAGAAAATTGAATGTATACATTTATTTAGTATGTATCAAATACATATATAATACATGTATTACAATAATAACTACATTATTAATTAAAGCTAAAAATATTATGTATATTGAAAAAAGAGTACTAATTTCAAAATACTTTTCAATATCACAGATAACGTTTTCAGGACGGTTTTGTTCTATAAAGGAATTCACTCAAGTTTATTCACAGAAAACTAACTAGATCTAGCACTTAAAATAGGGACAGGGAAAGTAAATAATTAAAATGAAGCAAAAATTAAAAAAAAAAATCAATCTACAACATGTTCTTGTACATAATATATTGACAACCTAAAATAAACAGAAACTGTTCACAACTCTCGAGTTAAAAAATTGCATGGAGGCGATAAACCAAAGAAGAGCTTCGATTTAGTTCATTAAAGGGGAGATAATACACATCTAATATCCTAGGCAATAACATTCTAGCATATACATTGAGGTATATAAGAACATATTACCCCTTAATCATTTCATAGAAATAATATGCACATTTCATATGATGAAAATAAAAAATATCTAACATTTTTCTGATACAGAATTATTTGTCAAGTAATTACCATACATGTTCATAAGAATTAAGTAAGCAAATTTAATACAGTAAATGTATATACTAATAAGTGGACACAACTTTTAGCGCAATTGTCCTGTTCAATTCGTTAGTGCAATAAAAAATTATCACACAGGAGCTTTATCAGTTACATATGTATTAGTTTAATCAAATATATTAATGTGTTACATATATTAGTGGAGGATAGATATTAAAATATCATAGCTGCTAAAATAAAAATGTTTACACAATACTAGTATGGTGCATTTTTCACTGATTTAGTAATATTTCATAAAATAATAAAATATTTTTCACCATAATCAACACAGAAAATAATAAGTTAAAATAAAAAAAATATCTATCATGTGTACATATTAGTCTTAAGTTACAATATTTGGCACAAAACCATTTTTCTGTATAGTTGAGGCACATACATTCTTCATGTGAAACAAAAGTTTGGATCTAAGTTGACGAATTGTTCTAGTGATCAAGGACACATTGTATAAAACATAAATAAAAGATCATATTTCTAAGATATATACTGACATTTAAATAATCTCAATTCATGCCACATCTCTTCTTTTAAAGTAAAAGTTAAAGATAACAAACGTGTCTTCTTGAAAAAAAGATTACAAGTTATTTTACCAAGCCACTAACAAGGCTAACTTAGCCTCTAACAATACCTATGTATAACTATGTCTAAACCATAAGAACACAGAAATCAATGAAGATTCTAGAAACATTCACGAAAGCTGGAAAATTCAGTTATAAACTGAGAATTCTAGACCAACCCTGATGATTCGTTTTTTTCCAAAACAGAAAAAAAAACAAGGTTCTAGACAAAAACTGCCTCACTTAAAACTTTGTTGAGAAACCCAAAGTCCAGGCCATCAAAATATTCTGCTGGCAAAGGATTACTTTTCATATAATATACATGTTAATATATTACACATTAATCAATAAACAAATTCATCCTGAAAAAAGAGGGGTTGCACATATGGACTTGAAGGTCTTCCTTGTTGAGGTTTAGTAGACAATGTCTTCATCATCTTCCACATTTGACCTCAGCCTTCTGGAAGATACCGTGGAATTGTCGATTTCTGGGAGATCTTCCGCCAGTCCCCAGTTACGAGTAGACGAAACTAAAAGGTAATTTTAGTTTTAAATAATGAGAGAGAAGTTGTGGAATGCTCTTAAACATATTGTTATTAGTTAGACATATTGTTAAGTTAAACATATTGTTATAAGTTAGAAATATTGTTAAGTTAGACACAAATAATGAAAATCCTTATCTCTACATTAAAGTTTCTTTCTTTCAAAAGTATATAAGCCACATCTTATTGAATTGCACAAGACTAATTATTACCAGTTAAGATCATATTCAAAACACTATTTATAAAATGTAAAATCAATTTTGTACCCTTATTTACCACAAGTTGCTACTTACTCGAAAAATCAATGTCTCGGGGGGTATTTTTCTTTTTATCCCAGTTGGTGTGAGAGGTGGTCATTTTAGCTCCCCGCGGAAAGAAAGGTTTCCCCATGGGGTTCATGGTCCAAGAGAAATCCCTGTCCCTCCCCTCTTCCCCCGAGAGGGATTCGTCGTCTGAGGGATAGGTTTTGTTGTTTCTGAGGTAGCTTTTCTTCTTGCGGTTGGTTTTTATTTCTTTGTCATCACCTACAGGTATTAGTATTACAGTTGTAAATGTTTCATTCATATAAAGTACATTTTCACTGTCAGAGAGATTAATATTTAATTATAGCATTCAAATTTTTATTTCAATTCAAATGCATTTTCTGCTGTAAGAGAAACAAATCTGTCCACATAAAAAAATTAAATGATACATTTTTTGTCAATATTTACTCAGCTTATATAAAATATACAGTACATGACTGTGTATATACAAGTACATATTATGCATCTTTGTCATATTTCTAAGTAAGCAAGTAGGTTTGCATCTCTGTCATATTTCCAAGTAAGAACTTTAAAGTAAATCCTAAAGAAATACATATAATAAATCATCAATACCCTTATACCCTCTGAGTGTATATTTCTATTTACATGTTTCAGCCACATACCTTCCATGGCATTTGCTCTTTTTAGCCTCTCCCTCCTTGGCGTGACATCATCATCAGTTTCCTCCTCTCCGGCCAGCGTACGAGGAGTGGTCAAGTCATGCCCATATCCATTGACTTCATCTTCAGACCTATATTTCTTCTTACTTCCTTTCTTCTTCTTTTTACGGGTCGTCAATTCCACTTCATCATCCACAGTTTCTTTACTGTATCCATCATTGGTAATCCCATTCTGGGCCCGATGTAAAGAAGACATTGCGTTTACTTCAATTTTTGATAAAGAGTTCACAGATTCCTTGTACCAGGTGTTTATCTCCCCTTCCCTCTGATCATCCATAACTTCATTAGAAGTAGTCCTAAAACTAGAATAATTCTGATTGACAACCTCCTCAGAATTTTCCTCTACATTTTCCTTCAAGGCCTTAAGTTTGGGTTTCTTCTTTTTCTTTTTGAGTTTCCTCACTGGTGATTCTTCAGTGAATTTGGTTCCTATGGGTCTCTGTAAGGGAGGTAATCTAGGTGTGTCCCTCTTTTGTACTGGAGGTAGAAAACCTTCATTGTCATCATCATCATTTCTGTTGTTGTTGTTGTTTATGGAGTTTGCGTATAATAGAGAATTGCTGTAGTTGAGGCGGCGAGCTGAGCGAGGAATATCTTCATCAGAGCCTTCTTCATCGTCTTCATTAGCTTCATCATATTTCTTCTGTTTTTCTTTCTTTCTTCTATTTTCTTCTTTTAGTTTTCTTTCCTAATGACATAAAAAAGAAGAGATTTATATCATGCTTGTAAGCAAATTTTCCTTTTGTTTTTGTAAAGAAATGTTTTTACTTATAAGAGTACTCCATTAGCATTTCAGACTATTTTATACTGAATAGTATTACTCCATACTTTTTTAATTAAAATGTTTAAAGTTGTTTATCTGCTGAGTTCTTGGCAATGAATAGGCATTCAAAATATGCTATATTTTGGGCATAAATATAACCTTCAAATAATCACAAAATTAATTCTTTTTTTTTGTGGGAATGTATTAATTTTGAATTAATATAATTAAACTCAGTCACCACAAATTCACATCTACAACAGACATACAGCCATTGAAAGACTTTTTTGACACTTTTCATGTACCAGGTAATAGAAAATGTGTGAATTTAACAGTAGAAAGATTCTTTTAACACAGAATAAAAATACACTTTACAGTGTAAATAACAAAGTGGAAAAAAGTATGTGCAAACAGTTAGCATGTTAAAAAGATAAATTGAATTTCACACAACTCTCACGCTTTCATAACAGACTTTACCATGCCACAAATTTGCTATTTAGGTTTGACTGAAATTGCATAAAATTTTCAATTGATTCAAGACAATCTGTGAAACACAGTTAAGAACAATATAAAATGTTGAGAATTTAAAAAATATGTGTAAAAGAGTATCTCCGAAATCAAATGTGATTTATATATGAAGTTTAAATATCAAATTTCATGAAAAAAAGATATTTGCTGAGAGATATTTTGAATCTTTCTATTAATAGCAATGAATTAATGTAAAAAAAGGGAAAAGTTTGTTTAGAAAAACAAGAGATAATATCAAACTATTCAGATATAGAGTTGTATGAAATTAGACAAATAAATAAATTATCTGTATTAATATAAGACGATAAAACCCTCGGTCCCCTTACCTTTTTCTCCAAAGCCTGAACATCAAGTCGTCTAAACGGTCCCCCGTCCATTTCTTCAACACCTTCATCCTCATCCTCTTGGGGCGGTTTGATGCCTAAACGCTCATTCTCTTCTCGTTCTTTTCTTTCCCTGAATTAAATATTAATCAGATATAATTAATTACATCTGCTGGGAAAGGCAACATAAATTGTATACCATTATTCAATATGTTTTTAAGCATATACATAGATTTATCTTTGCTAGACAAGAGTTTTTAGGTGACTCTGAGTAGAGCAGATCAAAAATCCTTAACAAACAAAGATGAGATTGATCAAATCTTTTAACTTAAAATAAAGCTTTAATGCACATGTATTTAGTTTTACATCTCAAACTTCTTTTTAATGGAAATTAACTTTAACTCCTTTTTTAAAGCCTTCATTTAAAATCTTTGTATATAATTTCTTTATATACCCTTATCCCTTTACAACCCCTAATTGTGAGACCCCCTCACCTCTCTTCCCCACCACCAAACAAACCTCCACTAAATTTAGGAGCCCCTCACCTCTCCCCACAAACCTCCACCACTAACTTTGAGATCCCCTCACCTCTCTTCCCGTAATTTCCTGACCCTCTCCCTCCTAGCCTCCAGCTCCGCCTCTCTCTTTTTTCGATCCTCCTCCATGTCCCTTTCTACCCGTGTGTGGTACTTCTCCCAGTTGTGGTCAATCATCCCACACAGCCATTTAATTCCATTCTTTATACTTGCATCCATCTTTTTCCCAGTCCCTTTAATGGCGGAACATGTTTCCTGAAATTATAAAGTGAGGTTTTTGATCATGTATATGCCTCAGTAAGTGATGTAGGTGCTGCAAAGTATAGGAGGAGGACCATTTATGAAAGTATTAGAAGTATATAATTTTCATGATTTTCTAGCGAATGTGTCAGTTGGATTGTTGTTAGTAAAATAAAAAATTGTGTTATGCCCTCCCAGAATTTTCTGTTTATAGATCTATAAAAGATGTCAATTTTAGACCATCTAATGATTACAATGATCATGAAGAGTTACACTTTCAGGACTTTTCTTAATGCAGGACTGCTTCATTTTTTTACTTAACATTGCTTGGGTGGTGAAAAGCACTGTTTGGCACCAATGCTGTATACATGCTATATTGATTTTGCAAGACATCAAGATATTATTGTTCTATTTAATTTTTATTCCTTCATATCCATCCCACTGACAGTCAGACACCGATCTTAAAACAGTATTTGACTTATTGACGAATAAACATAAAAGAAAACAAAGGAAGGAATGCATAGTAATTTTCTTTTTTTAAAAATAGAAGTGTATCTTACAATTCTACACGGACACTTGTTGATGTTGACAAGGTTCTCCAGACTGAGCTGCTCCATGATGTCTACCTCATCTAGGGCTGACTCCTGGTCCTGCTTATTGGCCAAACTAAATCACAAAACACAAGTTATACACCAATGGAAGTTACAAAAAGAACATTAGTCTGAAATGTGTCTAAAATCTCTTAAAATGGACAATTAAAGACATTTTAACGGTATGGCTTTAAAAAAAAACCTTCTATTTGAACTCTTAAATTTATGCAATAATAATTGAATCAACATTTTTGAACGAATCCATTACTTTTTCCTGAATATAATTATGCATATTATCATGATTATGAGCACATTTGATACAAGTGAATCATTATAAATTTGTTATTTATACATAATTTAATTCTGGTTGTAACGCTGTATTTGATTGGATAAAAAATTTACTTCATATCGTATAAAATGGGTTGCCTACGTCACAATGACTTACGTCAAAAACGTATCAATCCGCCTGACGTTACATTCAAATTTTGTACAAATTGAAGTCATTTTGTTAGAACAATCATCTTTTTTCCTTACATCAAATGAATGAAAATTAAATTATAAGCAATGAAATTAATAGCTACCCATTTTATACGGTATTTTTTTATAAACCGCGTAAACTGCCCTAACCCACTTTATACCTTATAAAATGGGTAGCTATTAAATTCATTCCTTAAATAATTAAAAGTTGAAAATTTATAAACTTTTACAAAGTTCAGTGATGAATTTTGCAATTTTTAATGTTCCTACACAGCCTACCTTGAAAATTACCTCATATGCAAGTAATATTTGGTCATAAGCACAAAATGAGGCTAGTTTGGGTTTTTTTTTACAAGCCTGACAATAATTTTATCAGTCTAGTGCATCAGACTGGTGATCTATTTAGCATAGAACAGGCAGACCACATCCTGTACTTTTTCTAAACTTACAGTAACACTGGTTTTCCCTGGACTTTCTCATTTTCCAGTAAAATCTTCAGATTGTGTTTCACTTCTTCCATTCTGTCCGCTGCCGTGGAATCAACCACATACACAATTCCATAAATTTCTGGGAAGTATGTCTGCCAAATGTCCCGGATCTTTTTACCACCACCCAAGTCATAAAACTTGATGTCATAATGATGAATTCCAATGTCAGCATTGTTGAAGCCCACGGTAGGTGTGGTGTCGGTGTGGGGTTCTGTTTAGAAAAATTCAGAAGAGATTGTTTCATGACCATTATGACTATTAGGAATTTTGACATTTTTACAAATATTTTGTTGCTGACCAAATGATACATGATGATCAAAGAAATGCACTGATTAACTGACAGTGATCTGAAATGTTGATCATGTTGATACTTACACAGTAAATTCCATTTTTGCATGCAATTTTACCTTTTAGATATTATTATGCTAAGACTGTCAACAGCTATTTATGAAATCTTAAAACAGTACTTTAATTTTCTTTTTACATTCATAGTGTAACCAGGGTTATGTATTATTTAATGCCATACTATACTTGCATTGCAAATATGTGAGAATGTGGTGTGTAAGACTTTGTGTGAATGAGGTAGTTATTATTTTTAGACACATGACTTTAATCCCATTCACTGAATTCCCGCTTTCACGCACTAACATCGGGCACTCTTAGCCTAGCCGTCAAACTGGTTAGATGTCAATAACAGATAGCAATATTTGTAAATTCCTGTGTGTGTCTCGGTAAGAAATCCATTCTAAAGTAAAGTCTATTATGTTTTAATTATCTGTCTAAACATCTGTCTATGTGTCGTCTATATATTGTGTGTATTTGTAATATTTCAGGTTTTTCTGAGGTTTTATTTCTACGTTAATAAATTAATTGAACCTGAACCAGATGTTATTTCCGATATTCTACCACTGGCTACAATAGCTTAGGAAAAAGCTGGATTGTCTATAAATGTTCATTTACCTCCTGCTAAAACTTTCACGGTGGTTGTTTTTCCTGCATTGTCCACACCAAACAGTCCCAGTGTTAAAGTCCTGTTAAAAAGAAACAGTATCTTTCAGTGAAAATTCCTTTGTCTATGAGTTTGTTTTTCTGTTGCTTTGTATATGTGCACTATCAAAGATATGACTACAGTATATGAGGGTATATTTGTTATCATATATTTTATTAGTTTTGTTTACATTTCATTAATTTAGAGGATATGTGTTAAAACACACATAATAATGAATATTTTTTAAACAATTACACAAAAACCTAAATTGACCATACTGATTGCTCAAACATGGATGACATGATATCTACAGATCTCTACATATTTTCTTGAACCTTTAGAATTAAACTCACCTCTTTGGTTCATGTTTTCGTTTACACAAACAGTTTCCCATTTGGATAAGTTAAAAGCTGTTATTAAAAACAGCTGATTTTGCCCGGTAGTAATGAGCGACTTGACGTGTATGCACTTGATGTGGGATCGTTGGTTCTTGTTGTTGGAAACCAGAATATAAATAATAGAAGACTCTCAGTCAGTGGGAACAATCTATTAATTGTTTTAGCTGAATAAACCAATAAAAAATTCTTTTTCAGATCTCACAGAAATTTAAGTTAAAAAGAACCTTCACGAATTAAATATTACGAATATAAACATGATAAAGAAACACGAAATCGATCGTGATACACGGCAGCCATGATGACAACAAGTTGGTCGTTATGACGTCACAGGAATCCGAAACTAAGATATCGACATGTGCCCCAGTACGGAACTGTTAACGTGGAAAAGGCAGTTTTTCGTTTCTCAAATATTTAAAATTTTTAAAAACAAGATGTGATATTTATTATACATAAATTTTACTCAATGATGATTCTCTAAAATAACAGTTTGAAGTAATGATTTTCTTTCTTGCAGGTATGTAAGAAGTACGGTGGCCGAGTGGTTAAGGCGTTGGACTTAAGTTCCAATGGACGAATGTCCGCGTGGGTTCGAACCCCACCCGTACTAATATTTTTTTCCTTCTTTAATGTCACATCAATTTAGACCATAAAACATGTATATTTAAATTTAGCTGCAGATCTAGCGAGAATTATGGAAAAAGAACTTCTATTATGAGTCTATCAATGCAAATGTCAATGTTATATATTCAGAGAATATACAAGCAAAATGTGCCATTTTTATGCAACCTTTATTCTTAATATTACATTTTTTATATAAAATTATGACAACAAATATTTTTAAAGTCACTTATTGTTTAAAATAAGGATATATGTAGACATAATGAATGAACAAGATTTAATGAAAAATAACAATATTACATTAATTTTCCTCTTTTTCGTTCTCAGTTTTTCCTTGGTCCGCTGTATAGACAGTCATACATATGATGAATGAATTAATATGTATCATACTTAAAAGATCGAAGTTTAAAAAATATGCAGTATATATAAACTTGTTTAAAGTGTACTAAATGCACGAAGTACACAGGCACGTAGCAGTTTTTTAAAAAAATGAAAAATGCAGTATATAAACTTGTTTAATATTTACTAAATGTTTTCACTATACTATGGTAAAATAGTAAAGGTAATGTTACGCCCCCCTGGCCCCCCAGGCCTTCAAATCGCTTTGATCTGCACATGTTCAAAAATAGTTGTACAAGTCAGTCAGATATATAAGTGATTTGAAGGCCTGTGGCACGAACTTAATATTTGTTTATTGCATGTGGAAGGTATAAAACAACACATGTGAAGGAAAGTCCTGCAGTAAACTGGTATATGCCTGTTTTCCATCCTGACAGAAACTTCGAATTGCATGTCGTATTTTTCCCTGCATAGATCTGTTCTAATCCCAAAATGACATTGGTTTTCCAACTGATTTCCTGTATCTGAAATGAAAAAAAGTAAATTATGATGAGAGAGAGAGAGATTACAAAGTAGATTTATTTTGGATTCTGAATTAGAGGTCAATTAACTCACCGATAAACCCTAAAACACTGAACTGTTCCGTTAATACCAACTAAAAAGTTTATGAGAGCAAGATTCAGATTCTTTGGTTGAATAATGAAACACCATCTGGTCCAAATATAACCTGAAAAAGTTCAATGCATGGGAACAAAATGTTTTCTGAAACAGGTCCATAGGAAGCGATTTATTTCAATTTTAAGAAGACACAATTTTCACCTTTGCATGGGAATGCACTTTCACTGTTCAAAGCTCATATAAAATACTAGCAAATAAATAAATATGAAAGGTCATCCGATTCAATTACCGAGGGACATACATGTACATGTGTACCATTAAAGATTTTGGTAGGATATTATATATCGGCAAAGATTTATTAGTGGACATGCCCCAGAGAGAAAGGGAGAAAGAGAGAGAGAGAGAGTGGGGTGGGGGTGGAGGGGTTTGGTAATTTGAACACAGGTACTTCTGGACAAGACCCCCCCCCCCAATATACACTCCTGTATAGAGAACTCTATTTTATAATACCAGGGGTAGGACTTTTTTTTTTTTAGTAAATCGTCTATGTTATTTTGGGTTTTTTCATATGGAATACATTGTAAATAAGTACTAAAAACATAATTCATGAGAAAAAAATATTTTTACCAGGGGTATATGTTTTTTAGGGGGAGAGGGTCCAGTCCACAAGTACCTGTTGGTTTGAAAATAGTATGCAAAATTACATTGCAGCAATATACAATAAAAATACTTATTATATGAATTTATGTGCAATTTTTCATATGTGTATTTTTTAATTAATTATATATTTTAGCAGGATTGTTTGTTATAACTTACCTGATAACATGGAGGTGGACTGGAAAAGACTGATGTTAGAAGCTGGTCTCAGGAGATCCCCGATTCCTGCCCCCACCAAAACCTACGGATGTATCATTGTAAAAAAAAAATCCCATGAATTTTCAAGATTTTGTAATAATAATAAAGTTTTGCTTACTAGTATACTCGTTCATATTCATAAAGTAAAATGAATATATATATAATATGCAGCAAAAAATGTGTATTGGAAATTATTCTTTCCTTGGATTTGTACATGTAGGGTTAATGTACCCGGTAAATATTTACCCATTTCATGAGTGGAGCCCAGAAGAATATAGTTTTAGGACCTGTAAAAAGTAATGAATGATTTTCAAATCATATGCACTCAAATACGTATTTGCATAAAACAAATACATGACCATGCAAAATATTACACATATAAATGTCCTCCAAAGAAATTTAGGACGCTCTGACCTATATAGCTGCACCTATAAGTACACGGTAATAATTTCGATAATTTCGAGTATTTGAAAACAAACCTGCTTCATGATTCCACAAAGGACGAAATTTGGATGGAACGAATTTGTCTACAGACCTTATGATGAATTGATATGCTCTAGACATATCTTCCCGATGTTTGCTTACTGAGAGATTCTACATGCCCGTAAAGTTTGGGGACCTCACATCACACCTAGATAACAAGTGTGGATCACAGTGTGTACATAGACGAACAGGGTGATATCGCTTGATTTTATTTAAAGTTTAAGGGAAAAAAAGAAGAACAGATTAATTTTTTTTTTATTATTATTATTCATAATTTTTTCACTTTTAACAAATAATAAGAATTTTACCTTACACAATTTTGATAATTTAATTAATGCATTGATCATGTAACATACCGAAGTTGTTTTGCATTTATTATAAAAATTAAGGCAACATTTTAAAGCAATATGAGCTGCAACTTTGATGTCGGAATTTTTTGTTGCAAAATTGTAAATAAATTTTTCAATGACAGAAAAAATAATGTTAAGAAACTTCTGTTGTTCATATTTGCGATGGAAGAACTATTTGTAAGCTTCGATTGAATCAAAATTACAGTATTGTCGTCCTGTACAACAACTATTTCTTATACAAAACTGTACATTGGATTGTATATAGAAGTCTTTCTTCTGCTTTATTTTAGTCTAATTGATCAAAAAAGTTTAAGTTACATACAAACTAATCATAATAACACATTTTAACAGCAAAATAAAATTTTCAAAAAAGCAACTCATATTGCTTAAACGTATGATTTCATTTTGCTATCGAGATCCGTCAGAACTACTCAATTAGGATACAAACAAATCAGCGACACAGTTGTAAAAAATTGCGTATCTATCGATGTATTTGTAGCTCATAATTCATTACTCTACAGCATGGTGACTAAAAACTTTGACTTTAACTTGACAAACAAATTTTATTTTATATAGTTATTATATATATAGTGTTTTTTGAAATTACATTGAAATTTTAAAATGCATGATGTTAATGAAATTAACTTGTAATTTAAAAACTTTATCTCTTATACCTGAATTTTTCAATTTCGAATAAAATTTTGTAATATTCGTAAGAAATGAACCTTTTTGAAACGACAAGAACCTGCAGAATGAATACTATCCTTATAATTAAAAAAAAAAAGATGACGTGAAAATTTTCTTTTCACCAGCAAAAAAGTATTATAAGTTTGTGATCGTACATTGGCGCCTGGACGGGACCGGAAAAAAGCGGGCCCAAAAGAGTTATAAAAGAGCAGACCAAGGCGGCAGTCGCGTTACTCACAATTTTTCCATAAAATCATTTTATTTATTTATAATTCCTATAACTGATGCCCCCTTTTTTAAAATGCGACATAAAAAATAAAACATTAAAACGTACCAATGCTGGTTTTACTTTATTTTGCTCGACTATGATTTCTTTTTATATAAAGATTGGAAAAAGAAAGATTATCGTGGATTGCGGAGCAGAACGAAACTAAGGGATCACTTTACCCGGGGTCTGTCTGTTTGTCTGTCAAGCCTTATTTCTCGAGAACTGTAAGAAATAGGATTTCATATTTTGCACATATATAGGATGGTAATATGCGTTTTGTATTTTGCCATGATTACCGATTTCTTGACTTTTGAATTTAACCTTTGACCATCTTTAAAAAAAAGTTCCCACTGTAAATATACAGCTTATTTTCTCTCTCCCCCTTCTCTGTCTCCACTCTCCTCTCTCGCTCTCCCCACCCTCTGTCAAACCCATCTCTATCTTCTCTCTCCCCTCTCTCTCTCTCACTCTACTCTCTCTCTCTCCTTTCACGCACTCTTTCTCTCCCCTGTCCCTTTTGTCTCACTCCCCACTTTTTCTCTCCCCCACTCTTTCTCTCCCCTGTCTCACTCCCCCCTCTTTCTCTCCCCCACTCTTTCCTTTCTCCACACTCTCTCTCCCTCCGCTCTTTCCTCTCTCTCCACTCTCTCTGTCCCCGCTGATTCTCCACACACAGGCTCTCTCTCTCCACACACACACAGACACACACACCCTCCCCCTTTCTCTCCACACATACTCTCTCTCTCTCCACAAACACCCTCTCTCTCTCTTTCCACACCCCCCCTCTCTCTCTCTCTCTACATCCCTCTCTTTCTCTCCACACACATCGTCCCTTTCTCTCCACACACACACACACACACACACCCTCTCCACACACAAACACACTCTCTCTCCCCACATTCCCCGCTAAGAGATAAGCAGTTGTCTCGCCTTTCTCTTTCCCCACGATCTCCCCACTTTCTCACTCTCTCTTTTTTTATTTTTATTTATTTTCTATGCATCTACATGCAAATAAAGTCTGCAGACATTTAGGGGGAAAGTTTTTGTCCCCTTAAGCTTATTGCCAAAAAAAACATTTAAAGGGGAAAAACCCAGGAGATACAGTTATCACTAGGCCTTCGCCGAACCTCCCCAACCCGGGGTTAACAACCTCATGTTCATTTCTTAAAGTTATGTTTTATACAATATTAATGTGAAAAAGAAAAAAGAAGGGGGTGAAATTATATGGGGGTAATTCTTCAACGTGAATAATGATTTATACGGTCGGAAAACAACCTTATTTGTAGAATATTGACCAAGGGCCATTTTTAACTCACCCCACCCCCATTTCCTGTAATTATTCTACAGGGGTTACACTGGTTTTCTGTAAGAGTAATTGCGCTTGCTTTGTTTTCATCGGTCATAAATTGAATTCTGTATAAAGATCGTACAACATGAAAAGCATGCGCAGATCTAGGGGGCGTAAATGGACACTTTAAGAAGAACGGTGTACCAGTGAAAACAGAAAGACAGAGACGGCCGGTCAGACAGACAGACCGAAATTAATACCCCCTATGTCAGTGAAAGCGGGGGACAATAATTGCATTTTTTATTTATCCGAGAAAGGACCACATCTTCAATATATGTACAATCACTTTGCAATCAGTAGCTGTGATACCTATAATTATTTTTTTCCTTTCAATTACAGCAAAGCAATAGGAACGGGACAGCAGTCGCCAATAATTTTTCTGATATATTGTAAATATAGAAAGCATGGCCACTTTATGCTTATCCCCTCAGTAATAATTTGATACATGTACCTACCTACATGTACCTAGTCCTTGTTGCACCTGGAGGCCCCAGTAGAAAATCACGATTTCGACGGGACTTTAAAAACCAAGACTGATTTTTTTGACAAACTTCTTCAAATGAGAAAGATATACGGTATTTCAATAATAAAAAAAAACACAAAACAAAACAAAACAAAACAAAAAAATAGAGGTACTGTCGATGATACTTTCTATGCACAGTCACTCCTGTAGAGAAAGGATATACCGGTATTTCAATAATCAAAAAACAAAAAAAAAAAAAACAAAAAAAAAAAAAAACCAAAAAACAAAAAACAAAAAAAACAATAATATTATTATTAGATAGAGTCTTGCAATGTACATTTTAAATTAAGTCTTCAGACGTTAAAAATCATATAACAAAACTCATTGAACTAACATCTAACCATTATGAATCATTTTTATGATTTTTTTTTTCTAACATTGTATATCAAAACTATGAAATATAAATGTGACTTGTGTTCAAAAATTTTATATAAATTGCGTATTAAGTTTTGGGGACCTTCTTTCACCTTGTCCCTTTGTTAAGAAATAAAGGAGAAAAGAAATAAACGTGTGTTCAAATTAATACCGAATAGCATTGAAAGTTCACTGAAGGCAAAATCTGCTATTAATGAACTCTTTTCGTCTTATGAACATTTTTTAAATAAGAAATGAAAATATATTAATTCTTTTTTCTCTATCGTGCCCATAAATTACAATTAATAATATTAAATGGTGTATTAATTTAAGAAAAAGATATGTATGAATGAATAAAACATATGACATTCATTTGTTAATTTTAGAAATGCAATTGACATTTAAAAAGAAATATACTGTTGCTTCCAAAAGACGTCCTGATACTTTTTTAAAAAAATAATTTTTCTGTCCCAAAAGTTTTACTTCATTGTTGACAAATTGACGAGGCAGGAGAAAGAATATTCAAAATCAAAAATAATTTTGTTAAAATCGTAATTCTTTACTTTGGATGCCCACATATAAATTCAAAATGAAAAAAAAACCCCAAAGGTATACTGGAATATGTTGCTTTTAAAATGTGAAAAAGGGTGAAGTGAAATATATGAAGATAACGAACAGTATTCAAGCTCAAAAATCCTTAAAACAATAAAATGTTAAAGCAGAGCAAACACAGACCTGCAAAACATCAGACGTGGGATCAGGTGCTATGGAGGAGTGAGCATCCCCTGCTGACCGGTCACTCCCGCCGTGTGCTCCTAGCTTGCCATGATCGGGAAATAATAAAAAAAAAGTCGACAATTCAGTGGGCATATAATGGACTAACAAATGGTACGAAAAACGCCAGTCAGCATCTGACATAATGATAAATTGTATTTGCTGACAAGGTCATAGTATCGACCATAGAACTTACGAAACGATGACTTTAAAACAAGACTGCTGATATTACTGTTTTATCAACTAGTTTGTCAATAATATGCCTCGTTTTAGAATTATCCTTACATAGAACATGCTCTAGCGTATCGAATAAACTGAGAGATAAAGAATCTGATGCAGCTGATGAAGGTATAATGTTGCATAAGTAAGGGAAGTTGACGATTGAACAGTTAAAGTCATCACGTTTATCATAGAGCTCGGTTGTAAGATAAACGTTCACGTCTTTTTCAAGTTAAATATCTAAATATGAAATAGATGTGTCAGACTCTGTAGTATCTTTTATCTCAAGCTCACAGGATATATCGTAAATATTGTCTAGCAGAAACTCAAGCATCATTTTAATAACAATCTCAAAGTACTTATATGTACAACCAGAATTTTTTTTAACAAAATAATTTTGCAAATGACCAACGACAAGGCAAGTAAATGTACTAGTTCCAATTCCATTGAAAAAGCAGCCGTCAATGATATAAAATCATGGACTTTAATTTATCGTGTGGAATGGTTGTGTGTAAAGTTGAAAAGCTTTTATGATGTTAATTTTGAAAAAAAAAATGACAGTTTAACAAACAGTTAAGGAATGCTTTGGCCAAATTATTTATGATGCTTTATAATCCGCGAAGCGGATTTAAAAAAGCGTAAACTGACCCAAACCATATTATACTCGATAATTTGGCCAAGAATTAGAGTCATTCCTTATAATTTAATTTTAAAATAATTATTCAACTGGGATGTAAAATTGTGTTGTTTTTATGAGTTCAAATTTACCGCGCAATAATACAACCGTAGTAACAATTATAAAAATATATAGATCTAGCAGCCATGATGCTTGTTTATACGGGTAACTGTTTGAAATTAAAGGTAAATTCATTAAATCTGGAATTTTCCAGAAAACTGGAAATGAGGGGATTGATGGATACAGATGATTATGCTGGTTGAGGGGGTGTGTTATACGAAACCAGATTATACAAAATGTTATGCGTTCCGTTTTGGAAATCAACCAATGAGAGGCAAGAATACAAGCAAAATTAAATTATTTATAAATATATTTACATTGTACACTTGTATACATGTATAATAACGAACAGTTGATGGCATAAACAAGACAACACACTCCTGGGAATTCAGAAGTAAGATAAGCTACTTAGGTGGATATTTGAGTTTTCTAAGATAGCTAATTATTTTTTTTTTTAATCCTCTTTATCACTAGTATTTAAATCATAATATATACATATATATTTCAATTGCTGTTAACTGTCAGTAAATTTAAAACATTATTGTAATTAAATTTAAAAAAAACGGGAAAATTTTTATTCTTAATTTCAAGTTCTTCAAAATTGCTAGATATAATGTAATAATAATTGAGAAACATTTTGTCAACGATAAATCTAACAAAGTGTTCAGCGGCATTAGAATAAATTCTACTCACACTAGGTGTATAATGTATACTAGATACTTAAAAACTCATTAAAGTTAATCTTTCTCAAATTGCTCTTGAACATTTATGAAAAGGCCTGTTTCCCTGTTTATTTAGTATTTTTCCACTTGGATGATCACTTTCATGTTATACTTCTTTTTGTCAGGGTAATGTTAAAGCAGACATGTCTCTTACTGTGGAATCATTTGCATTCGTGGGGGGGGGGGGGGGGGGGTCAATGTTCGCGGGTAAGCAAAAGTTTGTCAGTTCGTGAGGACGTAATTTCGTGGGTAACTCGTATTCAGCAACTAGATTCAATTGATATAATAATTGTCAATGAGACTGTAAATTCGTGGATAAGGGTGACCCACGGATTGCACGAATAATGGTCCCACAAGAATACCGATTCCACAGTATAAACATAATATGGTATTCATTTAATTTGCCATTATGTCTTATATTAGGGTACGTTCTTCATTATATGAAGCAGAGAAAATATGCTATGACTTTGCTTATATACAGTTTATTTCATCACTGGAGTGTAAAATGTATCCCTGTATAAATGCACCTAACATATTTTTTCCCTTTGCATAATTAACGCAGTTTTAAAAATCCAAACAAAGAAAACGTTTTAATTTAACAAATTTGATAATTACATTTAATTTTGAATAATTCGGTATATTATGGAGCCAGAAACAAGATAGAAGATAACATTAATCATAAAGAGAGAGGTTAATCTTGTATTTCAATTGCTAAACTGTCATCACAGTGACATAGATTCAGAAATAGTTTCAAGAGGTTGAAATTCTCTGTTTTGCTTGTCAGCTTTATGATGCATGAAATGTTAAAATTAAGAACGGTATTCATGCTCGACAGTCCATTTAAACGGTACAAATTTCAAGCAGAGCAAACACTAACCTCCGAAAACAAAAGTGGGATTTGGTGCCACGGAAAAAAGAGCATTCCCTGTCGACCGGTTACATGAACACGCTCCTTGTACCTTTTTCATGTAGGGGTAACCGAAAAAATCGTAGAGAATTTATAGTGAAAATAAATAATGGCTTAAAATTCGACTTAAGAACAGATTGTATTGGCAAATAAAAAACTGTATTTCGTAAGAGGAATCTTTATATTAAAAATTGTTATTATCCTTGCATTATCAACTTACTTACGGTTCTTTCGTTTAAGAAATCGTTCATAGATAACTTGGAACATCCACATTGAATCAGCATTGAGGTATTTACACCATATGCATTTGATAACGATAACTTGTTATATAAACAAAAAAACTGAAATCATCACATGTTTAGCTGTCAGTTCGTCATCTACGTCTTTTTCTTGTAGTACATCTAAATATGATACAGAACTGGCAGATTCGATGTACAAATGAAAATGATATAATTTTAAAAAGAATATAATAAAACATCGTCGATATTTCTAATGGTCTAATTGTCTAAGGCATTACACCTTTATCACCAAAATTCATGCTTTTTTTTTATCATTAATCCATATTGTTACTCTATGGTTTGCAGGGTGATAAGGAACATTTCATTATCAAAGAAGATACTTATTAATTCTTACCAAAGAGGCTATATTTCAATCCCATTGGTTGGGAAAAACTTTCGTATATTTGTGTATCAAATTTCTGAAATTCCTCATTACTAGTATTTCTGACATTCAAATTATTTTTGTTATTTCAATGAGAACTCAGCCTTTATTTCAAAATTTGTAAAATGAATGACACTTCTATCTTGCAGATAAAGTTCAAAGGTAAGAATAAGTGGAAATACATTGAAATACACAAAATCTTTGAAAATGTTCTTTTTTTATTGAGGTAATATAGCTGTATTGTTTTTTAAATTACCCTTTTCGTTACCAAACTTGTAAAATTCAAGACCCTTGACCCAAATTGTGAAAGTTTGGGTAGGGCAAAGTTATCGCATACAGGTTATTTAAAATATCATTAAATTTGAACTAATTTCTTATCATAAATTAAATAAGTATATTGGCTTAGCTCCTTAAATGGCCAAGTTCATGATTTTCAGAGTACTGTGCAGCAATATCGTCAAGAAGTGGCGTGAAGCAGATGTGGATACTCAAAGATTCCAAAGAACGTTTGGACAATTGAAATAGCAAGATTTTACCAAAATCAACAGCTTAAAAACTTACGACTTTTCAACTTTATACACTACCATTCCCCACGATAAATTAAAGGCCAGGCTTTTTGATATCTATGACAGCTGCTTTTTCAATAAATTTACTTCCCTGGTCATTGGTCATTTGCAAAACACACACACGTACTCTGAAGTTGACATCAAAGAGATGCTTGAGTTTCTGATTGACAATACATGTATCTAGGGGTTTTTTTTAAAGACCAGGTATTTCAACAATCTATTGGAATTCCCATGGGTATCAATTGCGCACCGTTATTAGCAGATCTATTTTTATATTGACATGAAGCAGAATTTGTGCAAAATCTTATGCGTGAAAAGAAGAAAACACTTGCTGTGGCCTTCAACTCGACATTTAGATATATCGACGACGTATTGTCAATTAACAATGGTAATTTCCATTCCTACGTCGATACGATATATCCTGATGAGCTTGAGATAAAAGATACCACAGAGTCTGACACATCTGTTTCATACTTGGATATTTTACTTGAAAAAGACGTTAATGGTAATCTAACAACCAAGCTATATGATAAAAGTGATGACTTTAACTTTTCTATCGTCAACTTCCCTTACTTAGGCAGCAATATATCTTCATCAGGTGCATACGGAGTCTATATATCTCGATTGATTCGATACGAAGGCGCATGCTCTACGTATGAACAATTTCTAAAACGAGGTAAATTATTGACAAGCAAGTTGATGAAACAAGAATATCAGCAATCTCGTTTAAAGTCACCATTTCTTAAGTTCAATGGTCGATGCAATGACCTTGCCAGCAAATACAATTTATCATTAAGTCAAATGCTGGCTGACGTTTTTCATACTAATTGTTAGTCCATTATTTATACACTGAATTGACGACGGATTTTTCCGTTATTTCCCGATCATGACACACGGCGGGTGTGACCGGTCAGCAGGGGATGCTCACTCCTCCATGGAACCTGATCCCACCTCTGATGTTTTGGAGGTCTGTGTTTGCTCTGCTCCTACTTTGTATTGTTTTATGGAATTTGAGATTGAACACTGTTCGTTATCTCCGTATCCTTCTTTGTCAACGAATGCAAGCGCCTGTTAGGTATTTTTAATTACCAAATTTATTAAATGTTCACGTGTCCCTGGATCTCAAACAAGAATTTTATCATTTATTCGTCGACCATCCGTCTTAACATTTAAACGGAGTATCCATTCCTTACCAGCACATAAGTCCAGATTTTTATTAATTTGATAATTATTCTAAAAATCTTCAAAACCACAGCATATTTTATTTTTTTATTAATAAAACTGAAAAAAGCACATTTTCCGTGAAAAAAAGTTAAGTAGGTCAACAAAAAGAGTGAGCGGATTAATTTTAGCTATAAAAACATTTCTGGAGGTTTATGTTAATTTTTCAAATGTCAGTTTTATTGTTGAAATAATATACCTCTGACATTTTTACATGATTCGTGCAGAACATGCAATCCATGTACGTACAAATATTTATCATCATGGTTTAGTTTTTTCCTGAAATATTGTCCATCTTTTGTGATTTTCTGACATGTTCAGGTATACCTATCCTCGTTTTCAATGAAATTGTGACATATTCAGACCTATACATTATTATAATTACGTTATTTCTGCAAAATTTAATTGCAGCCATTAAATTTTGATGTTGGAAATAATTGCAAAATGTCCCCCATCTTCTGCATTAAAGTACGTCAGAGTTATTTTATTGCATTTGCATGTTGTATGTTTCAATCCTCTCCAAATAGAATGTACGGGATTAAATTAACAGGCTCTGCGGCTGAAGTTTGTGACATACGCGGACCTTGAATTTTAATGTCACATGATTAACTTTAGTTTATAACGCGAAACGTTTACTTTTTCTTCTTAGAGTTGAAGTGAATGTTATAAAGGATAAACCTCGGACTGTCAAAGGGCAATATGGTATGTTCAACTACTTTACTAATTTTTTTTTATTTTGAAAATTTTAATTTAAGTTATCAATTTTGATGTATGAAATTTAAGAATAAAGAACAGATTGATAATATTATACAAATATTCTAGAGTTAAGAGTTTGATAATTTTTAGAATGTTAAAATATAAAAATATATATGATTTTTTTTTTTTTTTTTTGATAGAAGAAACTGTAATTGAAAAGAAAAAAGACATTATTTTGGGATTTTAAGTTTATTAAATGATTTACTTACTTATTTATTTAAATTTATTTATTTCCTAATTATTATAATTTTGTAAAATATGTTATATACATTTCAATAAACTTATTGTGATAACATGTAAAGGCTGCAGCATTTTTTATAATCATTTTGTAAAAGTGGGAAATTAAAAGATTTATTGGATCAAATCAAATTTTATATACAAAATAATCCAATGCTCAAGAAAATTAATTTTTCTCCTCTTATATCTGATATGTACAGCTTTAATTTGTTAAGTACCTGGTCTTATTAAATACGTATAGCAAATAAGATTTTTCTTCAAAGAAAGATTTTGAAAACAGAAAAGTGTATTTAAAAGTGATTGTTCTCTAGGTGATTTAAAAATAAGAACATTTATTTATTTAGTTAACTTTTCCAATCAGACTTTATGGCTGTTTTTATTGATTTTTGCATTTTTTCTACAGGACAAAAGACTGATTTTCGTAGCTTGTTGCCTTTCTGCGGTCTACGCCGTATTTCCCCCGACATGCGAACTCGAGTGTGTGGCTGGATATATTGGAGACATTGCAGAATGTCGAGTAGATTTCCCGTACAAGCCTGCAGGACCCAATAAGGACTTACAATTGTGTTTACTCGAAGTCGAATCAGATAGAAATATCTGTATGGTGATGAATAGGGATCCAGCCTGTGTAGCAAAAGCTGCAACTAGCACAATGCATTTACCATTTAAAATGAACCTTACCAAGCCTCCCACTACAACCCCCGCTCCTACGACGACCACAACAACGACGACAACACCACCACCAAAGCCTTCAACAGCTCCATTACAAGTCGGACCAGCGCTGTCACAACCATCTCGTTCCGGCAATCATTTGATACAACTATACGTTGATCCGCGCCAACATCAGCAAACAATGCAGAGTCCATATGGACTCGTGGGAAGACCCAACCAAGGTCATTATTCCCCTGTTGCCGTGGAACCACAACAACCAATGCCATCTGGTTTAACTGTCGCGCAAGCTCGACGTCATCAACAAATTCAAAATATGATTCAAAGGAGTGCTCCACAAGCATCAGTTTCACAAAGACCAGTTCCACAAGTCCGAAGCAGCATACAACTGCCTGCCAGACCCATGCCAAAACAAATGCAACTGCCATCTCAAAGTCCACCGAAGAGAACTCATCTTCCACAACGAACTGGGCCTCAACCAAGAGTTGTACCACAGCAGCAACAACAGTCTTACTCAGTGGCCCGTACAAATCCCAAAATTATTCAAAGAAGATTGACTGTATATAAGTTGGCGAAACCATTCAAACCAAATTCATTCAGCAGTCCCCAACAGTCTTTCTCTGCAGGAAACCTATTTAGAGTATAAAGTATTCCTCATAGACAGAATTGTTTTTATCCTTATGGTTAGTTCGGATGTTTTGTCTAGGAAAGGGTTGCAAAAGAATAAAAGAGACTGCTGATCTAAAACTATACAATATAGATATTAAATATTTGAATTTTATTCATTGAAATGGCCGGTGAGAGACATTTTCCTCTCCTGGGATAATTGTTTTGTAGATTGAATCCATTGCATAATTAAGCAGTCTTTTCCCTACTCATTTACATAATTACATCTTTTTTAAAATAGGAAACATAACCCGATGTGTCAGGTTTGTGGGCTTGTTAATCCCATAACTGAGCCAAGACTTGTCAGAAATATGATCTTTTGACATTGCGGTTTAGTTTCGTACTGCGGTGTCGTGATGCTGACTAATGAGTGTGTCAGCTTCGTACTTTATTTCCATACAATGTTTTTCCAGTGCGCATTGCAGTCTTCTTATCAGTTATAACACTCAGACTGATATTAAGCAGCGTAACAGCTGGTAATGAAATCCTGTCAAAAGACAGTCTTGGAGTGCTCAGATATGTTATTGTGAAATGCTGTTGTCTCTTTCGAGCATTTTTATTCATTGTTTCGTTTTTAAAAAATATGTTTCCTGTTATTTAATTTATTTTTGCGTGTATTTTGTGTGGGTTATAATTGTTGCATTTTTACTACCTTAACTAAAACAAATTATGATAATAATGAGAAACTTATGGAGCGAAATAATTAAGAACTAAAATGATAGATTGAGTTGTGAGTTTGAAAGTGTTTGAAAGATGAGTGATATTAGCGTGATATTTTATATTTCACACATAAAATATGCTTATTAGTATATACAATGTATATCTGAGGAGAAATTGTTGCCATTTGTTGTGATTTTATTAAATTACATGTTAACCAAAACAAAAAAGTGTATTGTAATTATTTTTAAAAAACACACACACACAAATCAAAACTAACAATACCACAATATTGTTCTCTTAGGACAAAATCAAATACTTTGTAGAAGAATTGAAAGATAGATAATTTTGATATAAAGAAACAATCTGCGTTTTACCAATTTACGAACATACGATTTCAGTAATTTGTATTCTTTAACAGGTAACTAACAAATAAGCCGATGTTACAGGGCTTTGAACCAATCTAGCTTTAAGTCAGCATATTGCAAAATCTATGGGTGTTATATAAATACAGTCTATCGGTTAGTCGCATTTTGACAGTTTCACACCTATTGTTACAACACTGTTTTTATACTAATTTTACAAAACTTTAAATTCAAATTATTACAAAAAGTGTAATTTTGTTATATAACTGTCTTGAAGTTAGCTTGTCTACTTACAAAGGGTTCAAAGGAGTTGTTGCAAATCGACTGGAGATGCTTAGTCCAGCTAGATACCTGATCCTATGGACACTAAATTCTAAAATCAAGGGTCCTTACTTCTGCCTTGCTCATAGTTAATATTAATTTTTATTCGATTAATGACATTGATTCGGTCGTTATCTTCAATTTATTCACTCATTTTTATCTATGTCCTGAAAAGGCTCTCATTTTTTTGTGCGACCAATCTGGCCCTGTGATTATTTGAATAAGTAATAATATCAAATACTTAACAAATTTGGAAACGAAGGAAAGATATTCCTATTGTATATACTATATTGTATAAAATTATGAATTTTTTTCTGATGATTTTCAGTTTTCACAATAACCACCTTAAACTTCGTCAATTTAGATTTATATTTTTCCCTCAAAAGTTCTTTCTCTCAAAAGTTCTTTCTCACCTCTTTGACATATTGAGGTCTGTATTCTTACGTATTCTTACATCACTTCGTAAATAAGGTAAATGCATCTCTTCGTAAATAAGGACAATCAACAAAAAATAATTACGGTCACCTAAAATAGACTGATTTATACAGAAAAATATATCATTTAAATTTCAAGAAGTCTTGCACAAATTAGTTTATAAACTTAGAGTAAAATTATTTAAATGGAAAATGTCCTATTAAGAAGTGTAGGATATTTCGGTTTCAATGTTCTTTTCCTTGTAATGTGACAAATGTATTTTATGGGGAATCAGAAATTTTATTATTAGTACGAAATTCAAATTATTACATTTTGTTTATTCCTTATGTTAATTTCAAATCATGATCGGTAGCTTTGGTTTCGATTCTCGTTCGCCGCGCCGATTCAAACCTCAGACATTAGCATAAGTTATCACTGTCTCCCCACGCCCAACATTAGAAGTGAAATTCTTGGGCTTGTTATCTAAGATGTTTGCATCATTGCTCAATGGACCAAAGTTCCATGAATATAGGACTTAATTTGAAGCCTTTCACGGGTTTTTGGTGATGTCCCTACGAGGTTAAATACAGTCTCATACGATATAACGTACAGTTATCAATTAATGCAATTTTTTTCGAACTTGTATTAAGATACAATTTCCATATTTATCATCTTGCATATAGTACACAACGTAGGCGAAACTTTTGCTTATAAACTTCCACAAACTGCTACACGAAATTAAGACGTGTTTTGTAATGAAGTAGTGTGCAAAATGTCTGTCATTTTAGAAAATTAAATCTTTTTCCTCTAATTTTCCTTTTGAAACATGTGTTTCCTGTTCAAAATGAGGGATTCAGAAGTTTTTTTTTTAATTTAGATAAAAAATACTTGGAAAAAATTACCTAGAATTTTTTTGCACTTAAAGTGATAAATTGACTCATATTATCCAGAAATAATAACTTAGTATGAATTATTTGTTCACAATGGATAATGTGCAATTAAATTACACGTAATACATTTCATAAACCTATCTATTGCTCCTATTAAAAACATTTGGAAAACCGCAAACACTTTGCTACATTTTTATGCTTGTTTATGATGAAGAATAAAACGTGACATTTGAAATTTCTCAAATATTAAACATTAAAATTGCAAATTATTGAAATTAAGCAACATTCACCAGTCAATGATTAAATTTTAATAATATTCTCTGAAAGACAAAGCTGTCTTTTCTTCGCAAGAGACATACTAATAAACATTGTAATAAAGAGGAGAGGAAACAAAACGTGCTTGTGAAACACTAATGTCCCGTATGGCAGGTTTTGGCGAAGGTTAAAGTTTCTCAGATGCAACTCAAACTGGTCAAAGTTAAAGATTTTAAAAATTGGGTAAAACTTTATGGCAATTGTCAAATTTTCAAATTTAAGATATCCAGGGAAAGATCTTGTCATACAAAATACTTATGAGAAGTATTAAAAAGCCCTATCACCAACTCTCCAAATGTGATAGCCAAGATTAAGGGTTTTCAAAAAGAGGTTAAAGTCCAAGATCAAGGTCAAAAGGTTTATTTGTTAGTAGCAAAGGAACATCGTGTCAAGTGAAATATACCCGTGAAATATGGAAGTCTTAATACTAAATGTTCATAAGGTATATTCAAGGTTAAAGTTTTTTGAAAAGAGGGCCAAGATCTAAGGTCAAGGTCAAAAGGTCAGAAATATTTATATCCATGAAATTCATCAAAATAAATAGGCATGTAAAGTATGAAAACCTTAGCATATTAAGGTAAGTTATGGTCAATGCTAACGTTTGGTAATTTTTGCATGAGTGGGTCAAACCCCAAGGACAAGGTCAAGAGGCCAAATATGTTGAACCTCAAAGAAAGCTCTTGTAACAAGAAATACACTTGTGAAATGAAAGTCATAGCTTCAACCAATCAAATATCATGGGGAATATTATAGCGAACAAACAGACAGAAGAACGGACAAAAACTATATACTGAATCTTCAATCATGGGGACATAAAAAGACAGTTCCTTAGCTCCTTCAGCTACAATGATCATGTCTCATCTAAAGAGATTGGAAATGCTGTTTATGGTTTAACAATTTATGTCCATCAAAAACTTAGGCAAAATATTCTGAATCATTAATTGATAATGTACTATTCAGTCTCAAGTATATTTTTGCACTTAATGGACAAATTTAAAAGATCTATTAAAAGATTATCTAAAAGGTTCAATGGAACAACATGTTTTTGCAGGCAAAAAAGTAAAATATAACTTAAGTATTTATGAATATCTTAAAGCGTTGCAAAAACAAAAGTGAAGGTCACTGACATACCTGTGTCGTTTACAAATTATTGAATTAGAAATTCACATAATGAGTACACGACAATTATCGTGTACTCATTATGTGAATTTTTAATTCAATAATTAGTAAACGACACCTGTTATATGACCCGTGATATTATCTCTTAGGTTAAGGTCACGATTTATAATAAGTAAATTTTGGAATTTATGTCAAAGCAATAAATAACCACATAGTAACATTTTTTTAAAGATGCCACAGGCTGAAACAAATTTTCAACCATTGGAATGGTTCGAGATATAACTTGGAAATATAGAGAGACTTCCAGTATTTAATTTAGTTAAAAGTAAAACCATGTGTACATCTCTGACACTATTTTAACAAGCAGTTTAAATATAAATTTCTGGTCCATCGAAACAGTTTGCCACTCGCGGGTATGTTAAGGAAGCATATAAGTAATTTCTCGGGATATTTAGACTTTTTGAAGAAAATTTAGTTTAATAAATTACCAAAACCACTGATAAACGTAAACTGTTATGTACTATTGCATACAGATAAAAGCGTGTCTAACGCAAAGACGTGCATCACCGCCACGGCATCACGTGACTTCTATTAATAGCAAAATTTTCCTTAATAAAAAGGCCTACAGAACAACAATACCCCGGACTTTGATAATTTTTTTGAGTATGTAATATAGCTGAAAAACATCTATTTTCTCTAAAAAGTGCTGCTAGAATCCCACTATCTTGTCCGTAAAATATTTATTCCACACATTCGCCCGAAACCTTACCCTTTGTTTTGAATTTTATACATATGTATCGATATTTTTCGTACAACCATGCTTCATTCGGGATTCTAGCAGCACTTTCCAAGTTTGTCAAAATGCAAACTTTCAATCTGTACAAATCGTATGTTTTGAAATATCCAGCTTATTGTTGTTCTGTTGCATTTTTTGGTCAAGAATGACGGACGATAGGCCGACCGGGATACGTAATATAGCTGACTGTCTTCCAAAAAGAATATAACCGATGAAAATAAATTAGCAAAGCTGTTTAATTAATTGAACTCCATATGAATTTAACACAATATTTCCGATATTTCCTTTTAAACTCTATTTTACGTATCTTTGAACATGCCGTCTTAGCCAAATTCTCTTTACACGACATGATCAATTTCAAAGTTACTTGATGTACACATATGACGTCATCGGTGGTAGATTTCAATCATAATGACTGTTACAGCATAACAAAATAAAAACATTTTATTTTTGTTAATGTTTACACGTTTCTAACATTTTCTAGAGTTAAATTACATAGCTAAATACCAATATCACGAAAACCTGATTTTCAAAATTGACGTCATCTTGCCTACTATGACGTCATAATACAGCACTGACTTAGCCAAGGTAGAATATTTTGTATGCTTCCTTATTCCCCCTGCGTAAGAGAAGTAAAAAAAAAAATAATATGCAAATGTACATAACAAATTGTATGACTCAAAAAACGAATTTACATTTTGAAAAACCACTTGTGTTATGAGAAGTATGGATAATTTACTGTAAAACACGGAAATATAAGTCCTGTCTGCGTTTAGCTGACGAAATTAAATCATGTTTCTGGTTTTGAAATTATGCCATTAGTGGGCAAAATGCATTGTAAGTGGTGAAGCAAACAGGTGTTTTGATTTCATCCGCCCTATACATGCATTAAATGTCAAGATAGTATTATGGTTTTTAGTTCGTTGTGGTGTATGCAAAGTTGTTGAAACCATGTTCAATACATATAATTTATTCTCATTATATCTGACATCAAAATTGATTCGTAAGACGAAGAAACTCGCCTCCATATTATTTTGTCATGGACTTAAAAAAAACAAAACAATTTATTTATTTAAGAATATATTTTGAAAGGATTCAATATTGTCTATCATTGTTACAAAGACAAATATAAACATAGTTCTGAATTGCATTGTCATTTCTTTCCAAGCACATTTTAAAGTTAAAATAAAATAAAATTTGCAAAATCTTCTGTCGCCACCATTTGAATTGATGCTAGTCTGACATAGGTATTTGTAAAAATGTATATAGTATAAACATATATTAATAAATGTGATTCAGAAATGTGGAATGTTTTTCCTGATACCAACCAGTTGAAGCCTAAGTTAACTTGCATAACTGCAGGATTAGCAACGTGACGCAATCGGGTATAATTTCATCTCTAAGGTGTTTTAAGGGGGATTTTATTTTCAACTCAAATACAACTTGTTACACTCAAATACATGCAATATTTATATATTAACAAAAGGTTCTCTCTTAAAAAATTTAAAAATGTTTTCTTTAATGTTTTCTTACTTAACCAAGAGATTTTAACTTAATTATTTTTTATCTGTAACCAAAACAAATTCAATTCACATTCCTTTTAACATTTAAGATAAACTTATTATAAATGTAGGGGGATATATTGTGTTGAAGTTTACCTAATTATATAGACAGACAGCTACGTACCTGACATGAAAAATTGACCATTACAACGAACAAACGACATTAATTACAAGTTGTCTTACTCCACGAATTGTGGTCTTATCTAATGATGCAACATAAGTTTTGCAAGGTATGGTTAAACAATGCCACTTACATTTGAAAGGTTTATATTTTCAAAAGATTTTTCTTACGTTTCTTTACTTTTCACTAAACCATTTAAAGCAAACGGACCCGTTTATTTTTAATGATAAAATTTTTTACGCAAAACGAAAGAAAACACGCAATATATATATTTGATAATAATAAAAATATTCTTGTAAGAATCATTTGATTTTCCACCAATGTTATTCCATTCATAGTTTGACTCTGAAATAAAATTCAAAATAGTGTCTACCACATCTGTATCATAATTGAATACTCCATTAAATACTAGTATAGAAATATAAGTTCTGTTAAAAACTAATATTGTATGTCAAGTGAGACTAGTTTAGCATTTTCATTATTAACATTCCTCAGTTATGTAGTAATTAACGATTGGCTGCATATAGTGTCAATGTCTCCCAGTAATTCAAAACTTTATATTATGCTCCGAGTACGAAAAATGTTTTAAGCAAGGCAAACTTTTGTCTGATAAGTAGATGCTGTAAGTATTTCAACAACACTGTTTAAAGTTAGGAGATCGTAAATTGTATTGATTTCATAAACAATCTTGTTAGCAAACACAACCTAACACTGAGTCGTGTATAAGCTGACGTGCATTGTACTAATTCAGGGGTAACGTTGGGTATGTTCGGTCAATAGAGGATGCTAAACACCAAATCCCACCTTTTCGGGAGTCCGTTTTTATGCTCTGTTCACAAATAAATATTGTTTGTAGTATTTTTTTAGGCGAACACTATTCTTTATCTTTTCCTTTCCAAGTAATCAAATTCATAAAGTACTAAAATGGAACATTGCCTGTTTAATGATCGCATTTATAGTATGTTGACTTTGGTCGTAAACTTTTTTTATATTATCAGCATTATTCATTGAATTTTCATTTCAATAGAACTTTCTAGCGTTACATAACTTTCATAATATTTAATAAAAAACAAAAGAAAGGTAAAGACGATTTTATTGCAAAACAATTTATCTATCAGTACATATAAACTAAAACCGTAATTCTAGAAACAAGTTGTTTTTCCTTTAAGTTAACCTCAAAATTGTGCTTTAAAAATAACCCTCTTGCCTAATTCATTTAATGAATTAGAACTTTAAGTTTTATCTTGTAATTAATAGGTCATTGTCAAGATAAAGTTCTTGAGAGGTCCTGCTCTAAATAGCTAAACTTGGTCACTCAAGTGAAAAATAAAGGTCACGCTATGCATTTGATAAGATTTTTATATCAAATTACGAAACGTCAAGTTTTTAAACATTATGTGTAAGCGAAAGAGCATTATGATATCAAATTGAAACCATTTAAGGATAATATACATGTAAACCATTAGTTCATAAATCAGCACGATTTAAATTGATATAGTTGTTGGACAATTTGAAAGAAATTAGCAATAATATAAAATGTATTCAAATGAATGGAAAATTGCACAATGCAAATATTTGAACACCAAAGAAAATCTACGATTACTTATTTCTTTTGAATTTGTTATTTATCTGAAATTCAGTCAAAATACATTCTATCTTTTTTATCTAATTATGATGAACATGCTACGATAATGCTTACAAGTAATTTTTAAACAACTTCTTGATTAGAAAACTACTCCATGAAGGGTTAGTTTATCATTAAATAGAATTAATTATTCAACGACTTACTAAGTATACTACACGAATATGTGCTACATTTTGAGGATATATTTCTTTCTACATGCGCAGTTATGTTTTATAATTGGCCTTTTACAAGACACATGATGCAAGATTATATGAGGTTAATTGTGCAAGGCCTCTTACAATCTTATAATGAGAATTCAAGTGTCACTTACAAATGTTTAAATCTCCAAATAAAGTTTTAAAAATGTATTAAAACAAAAACACGCAATATTACATGTTTTATTGCTTTAAGAATGTATGTTATAAGCGTATATATTAAGTTCATAAACTGCATTAATCACAACATAAATGGCTTGCTGTGAAGGTTTTCTATTCGTTTTTTCTCCTCTTCTTTTTTCCGTTTCTGTATCATAGCCTGTAACTTGATATTTTTCTCCACTTCTTCCCTCTTTTGGCGGCTTTCTTTGTTTTTATCATGAAGCCACCTAATCAAACAAAGAAAATTTCTTCATCATATATAAATAAATAAATAATTATAAGTTGAAATTTTCAAAAAAAAAATTTGTTACCATTAAAATAACATTTAAAGGACATGGACGCTGTTTGATCTAAAAAAAATTCAAATTTTCCATTTTTTTAATAATGCTTACTAATGTTTAACTTATGTTATTTTAATGATCATCAAAAATTTTAATTTCAGTTGTTCAGATACAAGACAGATTTAGAGCTCAAAAACTGTGTTATGCATGTGCCATGTTTTTGTTTACATAGGTTGAATATAAGTGCTCGTTCAAAGCAGATTTTTCAATAAAGAAGTTAATTCTAAATACGATTTAACAGTTTCTAGTGATTTGCTGAATCTCGTTTTGTTAAATATGATATTTTCTATATGTTAAGAAAAACAAGGCATAAGCCTTGTTTACATTATGAAGAATTTTAAATTCTTCTCGTATATCTCCTTTTTAAATTAACAAAGGATGTTCAAATGTTTGCTGATGATCAAAATTGCCTGAGTTGGGATTTGTAAACATTAAAGTTATTGGTTTAAAAAATCAGTTGAAACCACAGGCGCTTGACGTTTTTTAACCATTCTTTTCATAAAAAAACATTCCCTTTCAATAATAACAACGTTATTATTATAGTGTAGGGGATATTTTTATTTATGAAAAGGTAGGTTAAAACGTCAAGCGCCTGTGGTTGACACTGTGTCCATGGACCTTTAATGATTATAGAAGTAAGAAAAACGTGATTTCTATTCCAAGCTTACGTTTTAAATACTTTGTTGCAATCCTCTTGTGTTCGTATCAGGTGATCATCTACTAATTCTGCGTTTTTATATCTCTCCACTTTTTTATCATATTTATGTTGTTTTCTCTTCTGTCTTAACCACTTTCGAAACGCCAGATTCTTGTCTCTTTCCTAAAAATGCAAATACACATGGTATAAAGCTCAAAACATTACGATAACAGATAAGAGATATATTCAACTAACGGACAACTGTAAAGAATATATAGGAACATTCAACAGTGTTCTACTCTATGCAAATGAGTTGAACGCTTCCTCATTTGCATGGCAAAAATTCAACTAAAGGTCAATTGACGGTCAGTTGATCACCTAGCGGTTTACTGAATACTCCGATTGAGTTCTGATGGTATTTTTTCCTATGGGTTCTTTTTGCATTTGTGTTATAAATTTTCATTTGAAACTTAAATACCGGTATACGTGTAAAACGTAAAACTTAAATATAAGTGTGTGTGTGTACCCTTATAAAAATATGTTGCTATAAGATATCAGCTGGCAATAAGAACGCAGTATCTGCTCAAAATCGGATATAAAATATTTATAATATCAAAAAATATCCTTACCACCTGTGTTGTCTGCTTTTTGTTCTCCATTTTCTATAAACAGACTTGACATTGTTCTGTGCAGTGATACGTACACTTCATTTGTTGTCTTTTCTTTGTTTCTTACATTTAAACGAGACATTTGATATGTTTCGGATTATTTGAATTAAAAATCATTGACTTTATCATTGTTTATTGTGTGTTCTCTCTTTAGTGCAGAAAGGATCCTTGCTCTATTCCTAACGTTTACATTTCAAAAAAGTTTTATAATTAGGCGATATTTTAAATCTCTCTCTCTTTCTCTCTCTCTTTCTCATTTTAAAAACCATAGAATATAATTATAATATTCCTCGTATATCAACTAAGTACTTAGCTAAGCATTTTTAACAAGTAGTAATGATCTATTAATCAGTAGATTTAAGTTAAACCTTTTGTATATCAAGTTTATCTGAGTATATTACTTATGTTTTAATTATTAGAACATTGCTTTTGGCAAACCACAGTTCTTGGTACCGAAGCTATATTAAAAACATAATGAATCTGACACTTTAAGAGCCTATCTTGCTCTTAAAAAAGAAAAATTTAAGGAAAAAAAGGTTAGTCCGCCTAAACGCTAAGAAGGTTTGATTTGCATTCTTCTGCAATTTTAAAATTTTAGTTTTATGTCTTTCTATTTTAAAGTGATGACTTCCATTTTGTCCCATTAGAGATGTTTTGTCTAAAAATGAAAAACACTAAAAGTTGAAAATGCACTTTGTTGCATCAAAAAATGGAAAGCTTAATAGAAATTATTTTATTTAACGTACAAATTACTTACTCCTCAACGATGCTTTCTCCTTAAGTCACCTCAACTCACCTCTCGAATTTCAGGATCCGTGTTTTATGCTCTTTTTTTTTTTTTTTTTTTTTTGTATTGTTTAGAGATTTTTGAAATCGATCAGTGTTCGTTATATTTAGTTTTTAAATTCAGAAGGATTTAGTAGTAAGTACATTTCCTTCCAAAATCTGTAAAGAATTGTAAACATACATGCCCTTTTTTCTTCAGCAATACATATTTTTATACGCCCGGATCGATAGATCCGAGGCGTATATTGTTTTTGACCTGTCTGTTTGTCTGTTTATCTGTTTGTCTGTTTGTCTGTCTGTCTGTTGTCAACTTTAACGTTCGCCATAACTTTTGAACCATGAAAGATAGAGACTTCATATTTAGTATGCATACTCCACCAATGAAGTTCTTTCAAATGACACCAAGGTCAATGACCTTGTGACATTGACTGTGACCTATTTGCTAAAAATAGCTTTTTCGAATTTTCGCCACTACTTTTGAACCATGAGAGATGGAGTCTTTATATTTGATATGCATACTCCACCAATGATGCTCTTTCAAATGACACCAAGGTCAATGACCTTGTGACCTTGACTGTGACCTTTATGCTAAAAATAGATTTTACAAACTTTCTCCATAACTTTTGAACCATGACAGATAGAGACTTCATATTTGGTGTGCATACTCCACTAATGAAGTTCTTCAAATGACACCAAGGCCAATGACCTTGTGACCTTGACTTAATTATCTTTTGAAAATGAAGAGTTTCATATTTAACTTTGATCATAAGCATTCTTTTTGTTCGTTTTTCAAATTATTTTGGGTAACTTTACATCTATACAAGGCCATTTCAGACAAGATGTATCAATCCTGGCCTAATACCATCTCAATGAAGAGCTGTACAAAAAGACTAACATCAACCCCCTATCCCAAGTTAAAAAAAATGCCTGTGGATAGGATGTATATGTAGAATGCACCTAACTTCCATCCCAAGGGTTGTAATTGAGATGGACACCAACTTGCAAGAGAAGAAAAGGAAGACCAAAATAGACATAGAGGAGATCGGTAGAGAAAGAAATAAAAGATAACAACTGGACATGGTGCAAAGATGGACACCAGACAGACCAGCATAAGGCCGTGTCTTTAGTAAGTTACACCTATACATTAGCTGAGAAAGAGAGAGAGAGAGAGAGAGAGAGAACCATATGTTTTAGCACTTGACTAAGCAGGTTTTAAAGTCCAATAAAACAAAACATAAGTTAATGGCAGAAAATAAAGATGCCTATTGCTATTTATCAGTAATATCATAACACTGGTATTGTAAATCTACAATGCATGAAAGAATTATGGCAAGGAAGCAAGTGTCTAAGGGCAGTTGTTTCATCGTTCTTTCAACATTGAAATGTACGCATCAATAATAAATATTTTACGTACTTTCATTCTCTTTATCTGAATAATTTATACAGACATAAAAATAAACAATAAATATGATAAAATGTATTTCATTGTTTAAATGAATGGATAAGTTCAATGACTGTAGAAAAATTTACATATTAATCTGTTTACATACTTAATTATTTTTTTCTACATTGTGGACAACTGTTCATCATTGTATTTAAACAAACAAAGAAAAGCATTATATACTTTGATGAAAAAATTTTACTGTTTCAGTAATGTGGAAAGGTGTTAAGTTTTTATATACAATGCTTGAGGTCATTTGAGGACTAATTAAATGACTGAAGAATTTTTTGGAAAATAATCTTCGTTATTCGCTTAAGAAAATTTGAGGAGAGTACTTATAAGTTTGTGAAGAGGGGGTTAGAGCTTATATCTTGTAAAAAATCATAATATAATGATGTAAATGTTTTTAAAAATGTCTGTTTTATACACATTAAAAATAAACGGTAAGGGTTATATCTCAAGCTATATGCATGAAATAACGATAAACCTTTAACAAGCCAAAGAGTGTATGAAAAATGAAAAGAATGGGTTCAAAATCATATTTTTTTTTATAAAATAAGGTTTATTTTCAAATCAAGCGATTAATGTTAAAAATTTCATGTATGGGTTGATGGCGCTTTTTATGCACCACTTTTGTTTCCAATAAAGTTTGATGTATTTTACCGCATTATCACATCTGTATGTCGTAACAATATTGTGGCTGGGAGACCACTGTTTTGTAATCATTTATTGAACTGCATTTCTGGTCAAGCTTTCCATGATTCTGGTATGTCTCCCAGCCAAATTCTTTGCCTTGGTATGCCAGTAAAGTTTTAACATAAATAGGATTTATCCAGAAGATTTTTGCAATGATTAACAACATACTTAAAAAAGATAAAAATAAACGAATTACTCCATTAACACTTTAAGTAAAGAACAATTGCTGACAAATTTTAGTTCCAAAAAACCTGGAATGTTAGGTAGGCTGTGGGTTTTAAACCAGTTTATCTGAATTTCTGTAGAATATGCATATATGCTATCTTTTGTTTCATAGGTGTGAGATGAATTCAAGTCAATGAAAATTTCAGTTATTTTCTTTTAGATTATGAAATGTTCATTAAATGGATGGATGTAGACTGTTATTTTAAGGGGAAAAAATAAATTGTGAATTTAAAATTCAAAATCAAATGAAACTGTTGTCACAATTTTTGTTATGTATTGTTGTTGTTAATGATGATGATGTTTGTTTTTTTAAATGTTATTTTGTAATACAAGTATTATTTGTGTATGTTGGGGGTTGGGTGGAGGACATGATATTGGCATTATTGCATTGATTGGTAAGTGACTTTTTTAATAAAAAAAACATACAATACTACCTCTGAATGTAAACAAAAATCTATACATCCTTTAAGCGACATAGCTGCATTCTTAACTCTTTTATTTTACATTTATTACTTGGAATATGCTAAAGAAGATCCTTTCTAAACCAAGAAAGTCAAATCTTTGAAATAATTATGAAGATAATTTAATCGTCCCACAAAGCAATTATATTTCCATCAAACATGTTTTGGTTTAAACTACACCTTAATAATTTAAATTGCCTTTATTTAACATTGTGTATATGTAAAATTTCAAAGTGTTTATTTCACTAAGCTCGTTTATACATCAAATGTAACAAACTTATAATAAACCACACTGTTTTAGTTATCACACATAATGGTTTTAATTGACTTGATATTGCTATTAAATGTGAATATATTTCAAGTAGGTGACAGCAATCTTTTCCGCGATGCTGAACATTTGAAGCATGAATATTTTTAATTTTTATTTCAAGACATTCGTAAGCATGCAAATGGTATTGCTTTTAAACTGGTACCATGATTTTTTTTCGTGATTCATTGGCTGCCTTTGTTTTACAGAACTCTGAGGATTTTTTAATGCTCGAAACAATTTTAATATCTGATTAGATTTGATTAAGGATATAATGCACATTTTATTTTGGCTAGTTTGGGGCAATAGAAATAAATCCTCAGTGTACAACAATACTTTTTTTTCCAGTATTTGAATTTCAAATGTTTAATCAATAAATAGCATTTAAAATTTTTGCATATTATGTTTAGAAACCATTTCCATGACAATTGTGTACCGGTATTATATCTAGTGAATTAAGATATGCCCATCAATAAAATATGTTCAAAACCAAACACTTCCAAATTGAGGGGTTGTTGTTGGATGAAGGCTTAAAAAGGTCTCAAGCGAAGAAGTGGCATTGGGATTCGAACCCCTTACTCCTCCGCTTACTTTGACTTAAATAAGTCAAGATTTATTTTTGTCCAGCAAGATATATGAGTAAATTGCTTATTTTTTACTTTAAAATACTTTCTTCAGAAGTCTTATGTGCAATTTATATTAGTGAACACATATATTATAAATATTATTCTCTGTAATTAGACGTTGTATCTTAATATTAAATCTAAAGGCATCGATTAGTTAGCAATTAGTTTGATATGAACAAGTTAGTCACGGTTTTGTTTGAAATTGTCAGGAATTACATAATATTTATTTGTTCGAGATCTTTGCCTTTCCTTGATTTCTTTTGCAATCAAAACAATTTTATCTCAATAGGACTTAGTTCCCCTATCAGATTGTCAAGGAACCTTAACAAAAAAAAAAAAATAAATAAATATTTGAGACATTTTTTTCATCACAGTGAAATTTGACATTTATTTGTCTTATATTTTGTCACTGTTTATTTGAAATTAAATAAATAATAAATCAATAATAGCATCATCTATATATTTAGTTTGGAATTCAAATTTCGCAT